CCTCCGCCCTCCCTCCCGCCGGGGCGGGGACAGGTGCACGCTCCCGGGCGCGCTCCCGCAGAGCCGGGCCGGACCCGAGGTGAGTGGAGCGGCTGGGGGCACCGCGCGCCCAGGGCCGGGAGTCCAGCACAGGCCCGGGGACGGGGAACTTGCAGCGCGGTGGCGGGCCTCGATCTTTCCCCCAGTTCCGCGCCGCGGGATGGGCAGGAAGACGCAGCTTTCTCGACGGCCCGGGAGGGGTCGGGACCAGGACTCCAGGGCCCCGGACTCCAGGGCCCCTGCGCCCAGTCCGCAGCGCGTGGAGTCTTCCAGGCATCTCCGGGCCCTGCCCTGGACGCCACCGCTACCGGTCGGAGGCTGAGCCGCAGCAGCCCATCCGCGTGGGGTGGGACGGGAGGGCTTCTGTGCCAAGCTGGGCCGTGGGAGGCTGGAAGCCCTGCCAGGCTGTGGACGGAGGAGAGGGGAAGGAACGCAGAGCCTACCTGGGCCCATTGTCTCCTCCCTCTCTCTCGTGGCAGCTCAGTTCTTTTCACAGATGGGGACCTCAGGCCCAGAGAGGGTGAGCAGCCGGCCTCAGGTCACACAGCCTGTGAGCACAGGCTTGAGAGCCTGGGTGGGCAGGGTGCCGGCAGGTACTGCCTGCTGTCTGGCTGCTCCACACCTTTGCAAGGTGGACACTGAGTTTGGGCGGACCCTGAGGTCCGAGGCAAGTGGAAGAGGGAAAGACCTCTTGTTTCCTGTGGATGTAAGCAGCACCGGCACCCAGACTCGCAGCACGACCCGCTGGCTTCTGCCTGCCCCGGTGGGCTTCATTCTCCTTTCAACTTCTTTCCTTTCCTTTTCCGTTTTTTTGTTTTTTTGTTTTTTTGTTTTTTTGTTTTTTTTTTTCAGTTCTAGGATTGAACCCAGGGCCTTCCTACTGAGCTACATCCCCAGCACATCCCCCCTTGTTTTTCTTATTTTTTATTTTGAGACAAGTCACACAGGTTGGGGTTGAACTTGTGATCCTCCTGCCTCAGCCTCCCACAGTGCTGGGATTACAGGTGTGCACCGCCACACCCAACTCTATCTAGCTGCCTGTTTCTGCTTTGATTCTTTCTGTCTCTCAGTCTCAGCCTTTTCTCTGTCTCCCTATGGCTCCTTCCATATTTTCTGTCCTTCCCCCAAACAAACCCAGTCCACCTAGTGTCCTTAGAGCCCAGGCCCACAGGGGCTGCAAGGCTGCCAAGTTCTTCAGGGCTCCAGAGTCATGCACTGACGAGACTGATGCCCACCCAGGAGCAGGACTTGTCCGGCACCCCGGCCACCAGCCATACTTCGGGGCCACCCTGGCCCACACATCCCTGGTCTGGGCCCCGAAGCTTGGTGCCCACCAGCTGCCAGCTTATCCGCTCAGAGTGGGAACCCAGCATGGTGCCAGCCCTTAGCAAGCCAGACAGTACCTGGACACTGGGAGAGAGTACAGGGCCCTGCTCCCGTGGAAATGATGCTCCCCTGGGAGAGAGCAGCACTCTGCAGGTAGATATAGACTCCCGCCCCCCAGCTGGCCTGTGGCGGCACCCGCTGCTGGGGGGAGGGGCTTGGGCCCTGCAGGTCAAGGTCATGGGGTGGGGGCCCAGCCCACATAGCCAGGGTGCCTGGGCCTGGTCAGAGTTCACCCCACACTCCCACTCGTGGGCCTGAGATGCTCAGTTTTTGATGCAGGGATACAAAAGGGGCTGGGGGTGCAGCTTAGTGGCAGTGGGGTGTTAGGACATGTGAGGCCCTGGGACGGAGCCCCAGAATTGCAGGGTGGTGGAAATCACTCTGTTCCGTGACCCTGGGGCCTCTTCCCAGCCCCACGCACCAGGCTTCCTCTAAGGCTGGTGAGGAGGCAGGGCCCAAACCTCAGTGCCCCACTGACTGTGTGACCCCAGGCAAATGACTCTCCCTTTCTGGGCCTCACTTTCCTGTCTGTAGAGTGGAGATGATCTTAGTGGCAGCCTCAGGACTGTGGGGGCGCATGGTGGAGGCTGTGTGCACGAGGTGCTTGATGAACAGCTACGGAGTGGCCTCTTGTTTTATTATCCTTCCTCCTGGGTGATTTCAGCAGCTTCCTCACAGGCTAGCCGGCTTCACTCCTACCTCATCCCGGTTGCTAATTATTCTGCTTACCGCAGCAGGCACGTTAAACATTACATTGGAGCGGTTTCTCCTCTGCCCAGGGGCCAGCTTTGGCTGCAGAGAAGACACCGCAGCTCTCACCTAGACACCAAGGTGACTTCCGCTGTCTGCACGTCACCTCACTCCCGCTACTGGGGCCACATTGGCCTCCCTGCAGTTCTTTGAACACAGAGATCTATTTCTGGGACTTGCCAGGGCCACCCCAGGGCCTTGGCACTTTCTGTGCCACCCCAGGGCCTTTGCACTTGCTGTCTCCACCCTGGACCCTCTTCCCACCCACACTTTCTCCCTTCCAGCTTTGCTTTCTCCACAGGCTGACCTGCTCCATATTTTTGTTTTTGTTTTTCTTGGTGACTGCTTCTCATGCATTCCTGAGAGCAGGCGTTGTTTGTCCAGCACTTAGCAGACACCCCAAATCCCGTCTAGATGAATACACAAGAACCTCAAGGCCACTGTGGGCAGAACAGAAAACGCAGATATGAATCTTTCTCCTTTCCCTGCAGTGCTAGGGTTGAACCAGGGTCTCCGTGGGCTGAGCTGTGCTCTATACCCCAAGCCAGTGCTCACCTTTTAAACATGGGGTCCCCAGCACTCCACATCAGACGTTCGGGCTTCTCATGAGTTCCCAGAAACACCTGGGCCTTTGCAGCTCCCCTGTGCCTGTGGCTGCAGGCACAGCGACACAGGGTATCTGAGGACAGAAGCAGCAACCGCCAGATGTCTGTTTTCCAGATGAGGAACAATGGTGCTGCCCTCTGTGCGGCTGTAGTGCTGGGGTCCGACCCCAAGGACAGCTTGCAGGAGCAGGGTGCGCGCCATGGTCCCCGGCACGTGAGCTGTCCTGGTGTCCAGGTCCCAAGCCTGTCAGTGTGTAACCTGACGCCTGCCCACCACTCGGGGCAGATCCACTTTCCAGCCGCCAAAGGCCAGCAGCTTCTGTGAAGCCGCCTGCTGCCTTTAATAATTGACTCGTTTCTGGGTTGGGCATATCTTTCGCTGCCTCTGCAGCCTTGCTGCCTTCGCCCCTTCTGCTGGCCTGGCCTGGACAAGCCCTCAGCTGCCACGCACTGTGCCCCTGTCCCCTTTCAGGGCGCCTGGGCTCATGGGGGAAGCAGGTGCTGCTCAGAATAGAGAGAAGCCACAGGGCTGACCCTGGCGGACTATATCTTTATACTATAATGACTCTGGGCCTCAGTTTATTCTTTCTTTTCTTTTGTTTTTGTTTTCTGAGAGAAGGTCTTGCTATGTAGCCCATGTGATCCCCCTGCCTCAGCCTCCCACGTACTGAGATTACAGGCATGCACCACGTGCTTAGCTCTTTTCTTTTTTTCCCCCAGTACTGGGGATCAAACCCAGGGCCTCAGGCTGAGCTATGCCCCAGTCCATTTTATTTTTTGTGTGAAGACAGGGTCTCACTAAGTTATCCAAATTAGGCTCAGATATGTCATCTTTCTTCTGTAAATTTCTCTGGAAGACCTTTGTGCTCAAATTTAGTCTTAACCTTCTAGGTTTTTTTTTTTTTTTCTTCTTATAGTACTAGAGATTGAACCCAGGACTTTTTCACTGTACTACATCCAAGCCTTTTATTTTATTTTATTATTTTATTTTATTTTATTTTATTTTTAGATAGGACTAAATCACTAAATTGCCCAGGCTGGACTTGAACTTGTGATCTTCCTGCCTCAGCCTCACAAAGTGCTGGGATTATAGGTGTGAGCCACCGTATCCCACTGAAGATCTTAAAGTCCTTTATTTTGCAATTCTAGAACCAGGAAAAACTTCATTCCATGTAAGTGTTTCTCAGTGTCTTTTTAAGGCAAGTCTAAACAGCTACTGTTAGATTTCGATTTTTATAAAGTTCTGGTTGGGAGAAGACCTGAGTTCCTGAGTTGGGGCATCGGGGACAAAGGAGGTAAATATATCCATTACTAAAATTCAGTAAATATTTGTATACCCCTAAACATATATATTTGTACACTTCACCAGTGTTTTGCTGTATGTAAAATAAGAGTGATGAACAAGACAGAAGTTTAGCATCATAAACAACATTAAACAGCAAACAATATAGTTCAGCAGAGGCAGGTAGAGCTGTGTGGCTGCTACAAAATCCCAGGGGAGAGTAGTCCTGCATAGTACAAAATGGCTTTGGGAGTTCTTGCCATCACATCTGAGTTCCAGGCAGCAAAACAGACAAAAAGCAGAAGGCTTGAACAGGGGTTGCTGTACCCACGGAGACCAAGGGGGAGCCTAAATTAAGGAGGGCAAGAGGTATTTTTACCATGTGGGCATGTGGGTCTGTGTGGCCAGGTCTTCTGAGATGTTCCCCAGAAACCCAAAACCCTGAATTTTGAATGATATCCCCAGACTTGAAGATGACAGTAAGGAATTGTTTAACACACTGAGCAAACTTGGTCTGGCCTTGCCCGTCAGGAGTTCAGGGTCATCAGAAGGGTCATCTGCCCTCACCACGCCGGGCAGCAAGACAACTTTGCAAACCTCGGCCACAGAGGACACAAGGAAGGTGGGTAGACAGGAGCTTCCTACCGTGACTGGATGAGGGGGCTCCAGGCCAGGCTGGCTCAGCAGCCCAGGAGCCTCTTCTGTCCTGGGTACTCCATCCTGGCCTAGCCATTGGCAGAGCTTAGGGATTGTGCCAGAGACGTGGGCAGCAGGGAGCCCGGCTGCAACCTGTGGCAGTGTGTATGAACAAGAGGGGGCCTCCGGCCCACCAGTGTCGGAAATTCCTGGGTAAGGCAGGGGCACCTCGTGGCTGGTCCAGAGTGGGGCACCGAGCCTGCTGGGGCACCGAGAGCAGGAGGAGCTTGGCCCCGGCCAAGTGGTTGGCCCCAGGGTTCCAGGTTCCGAACTGCTAGGTGGACATTTTGCTGTTTTAATTTTAATTGTCATGTTCAAATTTTCATATGAAGTAGAAAAAATAACTATGTCCTCGATCCAGGTGTTTGTCCATAATGACGAAAGGACCCTCGAAGCAAAGCTGGCCCTGTTTTACCCCTTATCACAAACCATGAGGCCCCTTGAGGGAAATCCTTGATTGGCAGGCAGGGAGATGAGATAGAGAGAGGCAAAGTCGCCTGCCCAGGGTCACCCAGCACGTGGCAGAGCTGGGGTCAAGCGAAGCAGCTCACTCCAGAGCCTCTCCCTGGCCACTCTGATGGTTTGGGGAGTGGGTGGCCTCCAAAGGGGCTGAGAGTTCTGTTTTCAGGAGAAAAAGAACCAGAGTGAAACTATTTCTAATATTTATTATCATTTTTATATTAGGTAATAGGGTACATGGTTCACAGTTAAAACTATATAAAAAGATAAATATCGAGGTGGCACCAACACCCCCATCATTTCCTGAGAGCCCAGGTTGCTTTTGCAAATATAAGCAAAAAGAACACCACCATCTGAGACTCGGTTGCTTCCCAACCTCTCTGCAGACCTTTCCCCTGTCGGCGGTGAGATCATCCCCTAGCCTTGTTCCTCCAGCTTGTACAGGTGTGCGGGTCCCAGCAGGTAGCAAGCTCTGCGGCTCGCCCCACCTTTGTGATAGCCACTTGGATGGATTCCCATGTTTTGCTATTACAAGGCCACAATGAATAAATAATCCTGAACGTGAGTCATTAGTTCAGAGGAGATGACCTTTGGCTTTGGGACGATCTCATGGTGAGAAATGGCAATTTAAAATTCTCTTTTTTCCCCATTGTGAAAGGAGACAGTAATCTTCCCACAAGTCGAAAGCTTATTTGTACTTGTTTCATTGTTCTGTGCTTGGGCTTCTTTCTTGGGGCATTTGTTCTTGATTTGTAAAACTCTTCTTTTTGCGGTCTCAGCCACCTTCTTGTCACTGAGACAAATTACCTGACCCCCACAGCTCGGAGGAGGACAAGCTTATTTCCGTCTCAGTCCGTGGTCAACTGGCTCCAAGGCGGAAACCACATGGGGGCCTGGCAAAGGAGAGCGCTGTGGCGGCCGGGAAGCAGGGGGAGGAGGGAGGAGCTGGGACAAGAACACATCCTTCCAGGCCACCCAGTGCTGCCTCCAGCCAGGCCCCGCCTCCTCAGCCCCGGCAGGCTTCATCTGGGCGGAGCATGCACCCTGCGGTCCAGTCACCTTCCAAACACATGAGGCTTTGGTGGATATTTTACATGAACCATGACCATGATTATGAACCATAATCAAACCCAGGGCCTTCACACTGAGCTACAACCCCAGGCATTTTTTATTTTGAGACAGGATCTCACAAAGCCTGGTCTCACAAAGACAGGGTCTCACTAAATTGCCCAGGCTGGGCTTGAATTTATAATCTTCCTGCCTCAGTTTCCCAGAGGGCTGGGATTACAGACCAAAAACTCTTTGTATATTAGAAAAATGAACCTTTTGTCTGTGTTTTGTTTTGCAAATATTTTGCCAGGTTGTCGTTCGTCTTTTGAGTTTGTTTGCTTGTTTGTTTGTTTTTGAGACAAGGTCTCCTGATGTTGTCCAGGCCGGCCTCAAGCTCACAGTCCTCTTGCCTAAGCTTCCCAAGTAGCTGGGATTGTGGGCTACGGCACATGCCGCTGTGCCCAACTGGTGTTAGTACTTTTTGCAAAGGGTGTGTTGAATCTTTGATTATTTGCTTTTGTGTATTTTAACATTTATAGTGTTTATAGTGTTAAATATGTCAAAATTCTCTTTTCTGGACCCTGGATTTATGAGTTTAGGAAAACCTTCCCACTTGAAGGTTAATTATAAAGGAATTCATGTTTTTTGCTATTAAAGGTCAGATTATTCACATAATAAGAGAGGGGGGGGATAAAGAAAACCCGGCGCACAGCCAGCCTTGGCTGATGATGAACACGCTCCATCTCACCCCATGTCCTTTTCCACCAGCGCCCCCCGCAGGCTGACCCTGGGGACAGCAGCCCTCCACCTGCAGACGCCGCCATGGCCTTCCTGGTCCATCTGTTGGTCTGCGTCTTTGGGATGGGCTCCTGGGTGGCCATCAACGGGCTGTGGGTGGAGCTGCCCCTGCTGGTGATGGAGCTTCCCGAGGGCTGGCACCTGCCCTCCTACCTCACGGTGGTCATCCAGGTGGCCAACGTCGGGCCCCTGCTGGTCACCTTGCTGCACCACTTCCGGCCTGGCTGCCTCTCTGAGGTCCCCATAATCTTTACCATCCTGACCGTGGGCACCGTCACCTGTGTCCTCTTCGCCTTCGTCTGGAACATAACCTCCAGGGTGCTGAGGGGCCACCACAGCATCGCCTTTGTCGTCCTCACCTTCTTCCTGGCTCTGGTGGACTGCACCTCCTCTGTCACCTTCCTGCCCTTCATGAGCCGGCTGCCCTCCTACTACCTCACCACCTTCTTCGTGGGCGAAGGATTCAGTGGCCTCCTGCCTGCGCTGGTGGCTCTGGCCCAGGGCTCGGGTATCACCACCTGTGTCAATGTCACAGAGCCATTGGATGCCACCTCGAGCCCTATGACCACCAGGGAGACCCATGGCACACAGGTACCCAGTGTTACCTGGAATCTGCTGCTCTGTGCTGATTCACAAGCATGAGGGAGAAAGATCTGCTTCCTTCCACCCCAGTGGGCCCTTGCTGGGGCTGCAGAGTAAAGTGACCCAAGGCAGGTGGACAGCACAGACGCTGTGTCACTGACATGTATGTGCAGAAAACTCAGGCCAGACAACCAAGCTTCCATGGCATCCTGAGACAAAGGAGAGAACAGGGACCTGGGGCTTCTGGGGGGCATGGACAAGTTAGAAGAGGTGAGGGGTGACGCTGACGCAGGTGGTGAGTAAGTTGTCCTGTTGTGCAGAGAAGATGAAGGTTGTCGTTTACCTCTTCCGGGTACAGCCGGCTTCACTATGAAGAGTTCCTCTAGAGAGTGCAGTTCCCTCTAAGGTGGGCATCTTTTCTGAGCTACTCTTCTGTCTTTAACCAGCTCAAAACAGTCACTGCCCAACAGGTCCATTTGGGGTGACGAATTATCTCTACAAATTTTGGGGTGGTGCATCTGGAGCCCCAGCCCAAGTGAGGGCAGGCAGAACAATGACATGGGGGTTCTCCGAAATCCTTATGGGGGATCTTGCTTTAGACTGTCATGTCTGGATGCTTTATAAGGACGGTCCTTGGGTACGTTATCTGTCTCTGCTATTCTCATTGTCATGTCTGCCCTCTGACACCCTCAGGGACCCGGCAGCCCCACAGTGTGGGCCCCTGCTGGCCGCCTGGAGAGCCACTACCTCCCTGCACGCTTCTCGCCTCTGGTCTTCTTCCTGCTGCTGGCCGGCATGATGGGCTGCTGCCTGCTGGCCTTCTTCCTGCTCCAGCGGCGGTCCCGGGCCCAGCAGGGCTCTATCGAAGATCTCCTCCAGTCCCAGGTCACCCTCCACTCCATCCGGCCACGTGAGGAGAAAGATACAGGCCCCCTGGACCCGGCAGAGAGCAGCAAGGGCAAGGGGCACCTGGAGGAGAAGGTGGCCGCCCTGCGCCCCGCACAGCTGGCCTTCATCTACACCCTGGTGGCCTTCGTGAATGCACTCACCAATGGCGTGCTGCCCTCCGTGCAGACCTATTCCTGCCTGCCCTATGGGCCTGTCGCCTACCACCTGTCTGCCACCCTCAGCTCTGTGGCCAGCCCGCTCACCTGCTTCCTCTCCATATTTCTGCCTAGCAGGTAACCCCACCTGATGCGACCTAGCCCTGGGGAGCCCTGGTGTGGGGAGCGCTGCATTCCAGAACCTTACTTTCCAAGCTCCACCACCAGGCTATATTCTAGTGCTTATGAATATGGTTTCGAGCTGGGTGTGGTGGTGCACACCTGTACTCCCTGTACTCAGCGAGATGGTTATGGTTTGGGTAGATGCCCCCCTAAAGCCTTATGCAGTCATAGATGAGGCTTTTTCAGGGATGGCTGAGTCTAGAGTATGTGATGCTGGGACTAATGGTATGTGATTACTAAATTAGCCCGCTGATGGGCTTGGCACCATGCTAATCCCAGTAGCCTGGACACAATATAAGGGACAGGATGAGGCTTGTCTTTTCTTTTGCTGTCTTCTGCTTGCCATGAAGTGTTTCTCTTTGGCAAGCCACGTTACCTTGGCGCCAGCCAGTTAGGGACTGAAACCTCTACCAACTGTGAGCTAAATAACCCTTTATTCCCTTAATTTGTGGGTGTTGGGTATTTGGTCTCAGCAATGAGAAAAGCAACTAAGACAGAGGCTGAGGATTGCAAGTTCAAGCCCAGCCAGGCAATTTAGCAATTTGAAGAGACTCTGTCTCAAAATAAGAGAAAATGGGCTGGGATTGTAGCTCCATGAGAAGACCCTGGATTCAATCCCCAGTACTGCCCCCAACCACCCACACAAAGCCATATGGTTTCCCAGCTCTGCTTTCTACCAGCTGTGTAGTATTGAACAAATTACTTCACCTCTCTGGGCCTCGGGGATTTTTACGTGGAAGCTATGAGTGGTAATAGTTCTACTTCCTAAAATTGCTGGCAGTCTGCAACGGGTTGGGTTTGGAAGGTGCATACCGTGAGTCCAGTGCAAATATCAGCCGCTGACACCAGCAGCTGGTGAGGAGGGGCGTGCAGCTCCTGAGGCTGACAGTCAGAGGCCCCAGGGCTGTAAGAAAGGGACTGATCGGTGCAATCCATCCCTGCCCTCTTTGCCTCTTGGAGCGATGGTCCTAGCACGCCTGGGTGCTGGATGACACAGCTTGAGCCAGCTCGGAGGTTTCCCTCCTTCATAAGCCTCTGACCCAGGGGCTTCTGACCCCTCAGAGGAAATACTCTCCTCAGGAATTTGATGTCTAGGGTTCCCCATCTTCTGAGCCACCATCTATCCTGCCTTCTCTTAAGAGCTGCTTAGACCTGCCAGCCCAGGAGGGGAGTGAGGGCAGAGAGTTAGAAATGTCCATTTGCCCAGAAGGTGGACTTTCTCCCTTGGGGCCTCAAAGCCATAGAGAGAGGGTGGCAGCTATAGAGGGAGGTAGGGCCAGAGGCCACAGGCCTGCAGAATCTGAGTAGCCCCAAATGTTAGACATGTGTCATCTGAGAGCCATGGGACATAAGAATGTGGAGTGGGAGTCCCTCGTGTCAGGGGCTGACTGTGTGTTCTTAGTCTTAGTGTCCTGGAGGCTGTGGACCTGAGGGACAAGGACCACAAAGGAAAGGCAGTGTCCTCAGGGGTCAGACAGGTTTGATGGAAGGTTGCATAAAGACGTTGGAGCCAGGCCTCCTAGAGACTGCAAACCTCCGCTGAGACCAGGAAGGGAGGGGTCATCTAGGCTGCACTGCTTGACTGCAGTTTCCCTGCTGAGATCAAAGCCACCTTTTCATCCGCCCTGGCTTCCTGGTGTTGCCCTGGGAGGAAATGGCCCAGATCAAATGCCAGGCAAGAGCAATGCCTGGAGCTGGCATTGCTATACATGCTGTTCCTGCAGGTCCCCATGGGCCTGCCAGACCCCCATTCTGCAGGTAGGGACACTGAGGCCCTGGGACCAGCCTCACAGTTAGATAGCAGAACCAGGGGTTACACCAGGTCCCTGAGCCACACACTCCACTCTCCTCTGCTGTGAGTCTGGCCCTGCCATTCACTAAGGAGCAGATGTCCTGGCCTTGGGAGCCTCCCCCGTCCACTTGAGCTGGGGAGGAACTTTCCACATGGGGGACAACCCCACATGAGGGACCCCTGGGAGGTGGGAGCCAAGGTCAGGCTGCTCACCTCCCCAACTCTGCCCTAGGTCTCTGCCATTTCTGGGGGTCATCACCGTGCTGGGGACCGGCTTTGGGGCCTACAACATGGCCATGGCTGCGATGAGCCCCTGCCCCCTCCTCCAGGGCCACTGGGGGGGAGAAGTTCTCATTGTGAGTATCCCACCTCTGGTGCTGCACCCCCCAAGAAGACCGGGTTGATGGCGTGCTTCTCTGGGGAGGCAGGCTGTCCCCTGACTGCCACCCTCTCCTGGTCATGCACAATCACTGTGGTTCCTACAGGTCCCCGTGGGTCTTGTCTCACAAACCCTGGCTTGCTCACAAAGGGAAACTTTCGGGTTCACCTTTGGCCTTGATGCCCCCATGGGATCTCCTTGCACTTAAAGATCATTCCATGCGCCTGCATAGCCTGGTGAGGCCACCCTCCAGCAAGGCTCATCTCATAGGCCCTCTTCCCTCCACAACTGTCCCTGCCCTTCCCTGCAGGTGATGTCCTGGGTGCTGTTCTCAGCCTGTCTCAGCTACATCAAGGTCATGCTGGGTGTGATCTTGCGCGACCGGAGCCGCAGTGCTCTCGTGTGGTGCGGGGCGGCGGTGCAGCTGGGCTCGCTGGTCGGGGCGCTGCTCATGTTCCCGCTGGTCAACGTGCTGAGGCTCTTCGTGTCCGCGGACTTCTGCAACCTGGACTGCTCTGCCTAGGAGGCCCCAGGGCAATGCCTGGAAGCGAGGGAGAGGCAAGGGGGTGGTCAAGATCACAGCCCCGAGGTAGGGAGCAGCAGGACAGAGCTCAAGCCTCAGGACCATGAACCGTACCAGGCTGGATGGGGGCCTTGGAAGCAGTTGTGGGGGGCAGTATTGTTATTTTGTTTTACTTTTTTAAAAATAAAGACATTGTTGCTTTTACACTCAGATCAGCCTTCAAAGACAAGTTCAGTGTGAACCCAAAAACTGTGTCAGTATAATCAGTGTGCAGTCAAGGCCGAGCTTGGAAGGGAGCGGGCTGGCCGCAGACTTCTGCATAGTTTGCTCTGGCTGCTTGCCTCAGCCCCCACTCACCCCCTTTCCGTCTGTTGTGACTAGTTAGTGGTGTCACATCTTTCAAAAATCAGAAAATATAAAATGAGGTCTTCCCAGCTGCTCTCAACACATGCACACACACGTGCACACAGCACTTTTTTAGACCTTTTTTACTCTTTCACAGATTATGCAAATATAAGCAAATGAAAATGTAGCCTTTCTTTTGTCTCATTTCAGAGAAACAATAGTGAACTGTTGTGCACCAAAAATAATAAATTTTAAAAAACGATTGCACACCTTGCACTTTTTATTCATTGAAAATGAAGAGAACATTCTTGTTCTTTGTGCTGGACAGGCTAAGTTCACTTGTCCATTTGATGGCACTGGGAGGAAAATGAAGAATTAGACCTCTTGCTAATCCAGAAGACTGGGGCAAAAGGAGAGAAAAGAAACAGTTCTGCTATGAATAAGCATTAAGCCAGACTACAGCACACGTCACCAATTGCTGAGGAGACTACAGAGGCAGCAGCCCCCACTTCCACCGCCAGGCAGCCTGCCACAAGCATGCTTCCCAACAATAACACGTCCTCATGCAAAGTGACGGGACAGTGCCACAGTCACAGGGTTCATCCTGAACTTACCCAGCAGTTGGAGTCTGCGTCAGCTGTCATTACTCACAGCACGTCCACTCATATCTTTATGATGGTGTGGGCGCTTTGCAACCTGGTGAGGGTCCTGCCCTCCGAGGACTGGGGCAGGTGCTGTCTTCCTTGGAGTCTGCACTGCGGTGATGGCTCCTGGGGCCTTGAGTTCTAAAACAGGTGAGAGGTCCATTCAGCTTTCTAACAGGACACAAATCCTAAGGAACAGCAGAAATTTACACATTCTCTACCATAGATACGCTTAAGAAAATGAACAGAATGGTTCCTCTCTTTTGCACTGAGGAGAATTAATTTTTATTTGCATTTGGCCTTAGCTAGGCATGGTGGTACACACTTGCAATCCCAGCACTCTGGGAGGCTGAGGCAAGAGGATCACAAGTTTGAGTCCAACCTGGTCAACTTAGTAACACCCTGTCTCGAAATAAAGAAGCTGGAGAAGCAGCTCACTGCAAAGGCCTTGGGCATTTTGGTTGTTTCCAATCCCTCCCAGAAAAGATATTGAATGGGCAATAATGGAGAAGACAGTGTCTCTCTTCTGGGGTGGGAAAATGCTCCAAAACCTCACACACACATGCACACTCATGCACTTACACCATCCTCGGAAGCCTTGGGCCTGTAAGTCATATGCTGTAGTCAGGCTCCTTGTGTGTAGAGATGATAAAAATCACCTCCCTCCCAGGATCCTTAGCAAAGTAGTTGAGCTGCTATGTACAAAGTGTTCAGCTCCACACCTGTGCTCAACAAATATCTGCCAAACTGTCGCTGTGCAAGAATGCCCACCACAGACCCTTGATGCCACGAGCTGCGCTCCCTACCCTCTGGCCTCAGGTTAAGTTGTTTCCAGGCTGACAGGAGAGACAAGATGTCCCACAAGCCACTGAGTGACAGACTAGCCAAACTCAGGCCTTGGAGAATGGGGGCCCCCAAGCAGGATGTGCCCACAGTCCCAGCTACCAAACAAGGAGGCTGGGCTAGAAGGACTGCTTGGGCCCAGGGGAACATGACCAGCATGAGCCACATAATGAGACCCAGTCTCAAAAAGTAAACAGTGAGATCAGGACTCTGGACTGGCCTGGTGTTGGCAGGGAGGGGACTCTCCGAGGATGCCCCCCAAAGATGGCCTTTCTGGCAGGGGTGAGAAAAAGAGCCCTGTCCTTCTTGCCTGGAGATAACACTGTGCCTCCCAGGGTAAACTGCTCCCAGCATGCACCGCTCGAGGCCTGGGGATGGCCTGACTTAGACCTTCTGATGCTTTGGCCAAATGGCCTGGGGGGTACCTGTTCCTTCCCGGGGCGACTGTGCCAGCAATGCCCTGTCCTCAAGTGTCCAGGCTCCACAACGGAGGCACAAGGCTGAAAAGTGCACTTTCTACCCTGCCCTGGGCTTGTCACAGTGCCTCGCCCTAGAAGGGTCAATGAGGATGGATACGCCCTAATTCCTGGAATGTGTGTGCAGTACCTGTCCTGGCAGGAAGGGCTTTGCATGGAATGAGAGAGAGTTGGTTTTTTTTTTTTTTTTTCCTGTACTGGAGATTGAACCCAGGGCCTTCGCACTGAGCTGCAGCCTGGCTTTTTTATTTTTCATTTTGAGACACGATCTGATTAAGTTGCGAAGTTGGCTCTGATGATGCTGCTGGTGGCCTAGTGTGGCTGTCAGAAACCAGGATCTTGTTCTACAATTGAGTGAGCCAGAAGGCTGAGTCTTCAGCCCTGCAGACTTAAAATTAGGCCTGAGCCCTGGGTCTGGTTCCAACCCTAGAGAACTTGAAACAATAAATTTGCTTTATTTTTGTTTTTGTTTGCTTTGCTTTGCCTTGTTTGTTTGCTTGAGATGGGGTCTCGCTGTGTTGCCCAAGCTGGTCTTTAATTCCTGGGTGGGCTCAAGTGATCCTTTTGTTTCAGCCTCCTGGGTAGCAGGATCTTCTGGCAAATGCCACCAAAGCTGGCTACATTTGCATTGACTTATGGGTGTTGTTTGGGGTCACCAGTGGCAGCAGGTGAGGAAATATCAGGCTCAGGTGTTCACTCCTGAGGTCTAACAGTCTTGTGCTCAGAAAGCACATTGGCGCGCACCGGAGCCGCAGAACCCAGGAATCCAGTATTTCAGCACAGCCCTGGGACAAAGGTCCAGGTGGGGCAAGATCTAGCCAGAGACCCCAGAGACACACGGCCCACTCTAGTTGGCTCTCACCCTGCGGCTGTCCCCAAGAAGCTGCAGGTGTAGGAACCCAGGTACCAAGGTTAGTGTAGGTCCTGACCAAGGGCAGAGTCTGGGAAGTGGAAAGCTGCGCCCAGGCCCCCACTCTGAGGAGAGATCTGAGAGAAGTGTGGTTGGCTTGAGTCCTCGGAGCACTCAGCGTGGGAGGGAAGCACCGCGCCTGCCCAGCCCCACTGAGAACACCTGGGTACCCATCACTGCACAGCTGTGAGCGGGAACAGTGGCGCACAGCTGCGGCCCCAGCCGTCGGAGTTCAAGGCCAGTGGGCAACACAGTGAGACACTGTCTTAAAAAAAAAATGTCAACAACCACAAAGTTCAAAAACTCCATGCCTTTAAGGGCCTTCTAAAAGATTTTTTTAATAAAATAGTAAAAATTTTAAAAATATAAAGAGTTTTCCTAGCAGCCCTATGCCAGGGCATGAGGCCATCCTGCACCCATTAGCTTTTCCATGCCTTGATCTCTACCCAGGATTCCCCATTTAATTCTCACAGAAGCCCCAGGACATGCTTCCTATAATGGCCAGTCCATTGTGGTGACTAAAGAAACTGGGCACAGAGAGGTTAAGTATCTCATCTGAGGTCACACAGTATACAAGTGACGGAACCGAGACTCAGACCCAAGCCACCTAGGCCCAGTCTTACATGGTCTTCCTGTGGAGGGACATGAGTCTCAAGTCCTGTGAAGTGGGCATGAAAACCTTGACGCAAGGCCAGCCCCAGCTCAGGAAACTGAGTCACTGGAAGATGAGCTTTCCTCCCCTGTGGTGAAAGTCACCTCCCCACACAGTGCTGGCTCT